CAGCTAACATATGTGCCTCTTTAGGTTTAGCCATGTATCTACTTACCAGGCATACAACATACATCATGTCTGGTCTGGTAGCCGTTAGATACATGAGGCTACCAACCATTTGCTTAAACAAATTAGCATCTACATCAGCACCTCCAGCTTCTTTCGACAACTTAGTCCCTGGAACAATAGGATTTCTAACTGAATTGCAGCTTCCCATTCCAAACCTGTCAAGTACTTCACTGGCATACTTTTTCTGACACAGGTGAATGCCTTCAGAGCTTTGCTGTATCTCAACACCTAGGAAGTATTTCATCTTTCCTAGGTCTGTCATGTCGAACTCCAGCTTCATAGAATTTTTGAATTTCTCACACATGCCAACATCATTCCCTGTATATATCAAATCATCAACATAGAGACTTACCACTAAGATTTTACCTCCTTCTTCGGTCTTGATAAACAAAGTAGGCTCATAACTACATCTCACAAATCCTTCCTTGATAAAATAACCCTCTATCCGGCTGTACCAGGCCCTAGGTGCCTGCTTTAATCCGTATAGAGCCTTTTTAAGCCTGTAAACTTTGTCTTCCTCACCTTCTTGCACATATCCCTGTGGTTGCTCTATAAATACGGTTTCACTGAGCTCACCGTGCAAAAATGCACTTTTCACGTCCAACTGAAACACCGTCCAACCCTTTTGTGCAGCCATGGCCAAAACCATACGTATAGTATCCCATCGTGCCACCGGAGCAAATACTTCATTCTAGTCTATTCCATGCTTTTGTGCGTAGCCTTTTGCGACCAAGCGAGCTTTACATTTGTCAATCTCCCCACTTTCATTAAGCTTAGTCTTATACACCCACTTGACACCGATTTTTTTTGCTCCAACAGGTAGATTCACCAATTCCCAGGTTTCATTCTTTACTATGGCTTCAATCTCCAAGTCCATTGCATTCCTCCACTTCTCACTCCTTGCAGCCTCTTCGTAAGAGGTTGGATCTTCATGTGATATGTACAACACTAAATTCTGCACATCTTCCCCTTCAGACAAACCTTCCCCACTAGTATAATCTTGCATCCAGACTGGTGCTCTTCTATTCCTTTCTCCAAGTGAATCTGGTGTGCTTCCTTCTGATGTACTTGAACCACTTCCTTCAGGTGAATCACTCCCTTCATTTAAGTCGCTGAAGGCAGCTGCTTCTTCTTGGTGACCCTCATCTCTGTCTTCATCGGTTTCATCAGAATCACTCGGTAAATAGTCATCATCTCCCCAATCAAGCTTGACCTCTTCATTATTCCTTCCCCAATCCCAGCCTTCATTTTCTTCGAATACCACATCTCTGCTTGTTACAATTTTTTTGGCAATGGGATCGTAGAGTCTGTAGGCCTTGGATTCTTCACTAATACCAAGAAGCACACATTTGTAACTCTTATAGTCCAGCTTCAATCTCTTGTTATCTGGTATGTGTACATGGCCGATACACCCAAATACTCTAAAGTACTCCACATTTGGCTTGATTCCACTCCAGCTTTCTTCAGATGTCTTGTCTTTCAATGCTGAAGTAGGGCTCCTATTCAACACATGCACAGTCCATCGAACTGCTTCTGGCCAAAATGTCTTTGGCATCTCCTTCTCTGTAAGTAAGCATCTCACCATATTCATAATGGTTCGATTCTTACGCTCAGCTACCCCGTTCTGTTGAGGGGTGTAAGCTGTTGTAAGTTGTCTCTTAATGCCATGAACCTTACAAAATTCTTTGAACTCCAGTAAAGTGAATTCACCACCTCTGTCAGTTCTTAGGCAACATATACAACTCCCTATCTCCTTTTCAACAAGACTTTTAAAACTCTTAAACATTGTCAATGCTTCACACTTTTCAGCTAGGAAATAAATCCAAGTTTTCCTACTAAAGTCATCAATGAAGCATAAAGTGTACCTCTTGTTGCTATTCGATATCGGTGTAATGGGGCCACAAATATCGGCATGTATCAATTGCAGACTTCGTGATGCTCTCCACTGACTTTTCTTTGGCATTGCTTCTCGATGCTGTTTTCCTATATTGCAAACAGTACATACAGTGTTTGCAGCTTTGAGTTGAGGCAAGCCTTTCACTAGTTGCTTGTACTGTAAGGTTCTAAGGCTTTTGTTATTCAGATGACCATATCTTCGATGCCACAGATCAGTGATGTTGTCAGCAGCTGCTTGGAAACATGTTGATGACTGAGGTACCACTTTTGCCAACAATACAAACATTCTGTTTGTTGACATTCTTGTTTGCATTATGAGCCCTCTCCTAGGATGATAGATCTTACACACTCCTTTTTGTATCAGGATAGTCAACTCCTTTTCTTGCAACTGACCGATGCTAAGTAAGTTGTTTTTCAAATCAGGAATATAGAAGACATCTGTTATTACCTGAGTTATTCCCCCAACTTCCAGCTTGATGTTTCCTCTTCCCATCACTGGCATCATTGAGTCATCTCCTAGCTTCACCGAGTGCCTGAAATGCTCATCAAAATCAAGAAACCACTGCTTGTTGCCTGACATGTGGTTTGAGCATCCAGAATCAAGGAACCATATTCCTTCTCGGCTTGTGGTATGAAGCTCTACATAGGACATTAGCAGCAGCTCCTCCTTTTCGTCCAACTCAGCATAATTAACCCTGTTGTTCAAGCTAGGGCATTCGTATTGGAAATGCCCCAACTTTTGACATTTGTAACACTCAATCAAAGCTTTGTCTTCCTCGACCTCGTCCTCTCCCTCTATGGTCACCTCTTCCTCTGCCTCTTGCTTCAACTCTATTCTCAGAGGTGATCTGCAGTGCCTGTTCTTCACTGTGCTGTCCATTCATTCTCTGCTCATGCACCAAGAGGCTGCTTTGAAGCTCATCTATTGTCAATTTGTCGAGGTCATTTGACTCCTCAATTGAACAGACAACATAATTGAACCTCCTCGTCATTGACCGCAAAATCTTCTCTATGATTATCACTTGTTCCATCTTCTCCCCATGCGCCTTCATCTTGTTCGCAATAGTAAGTGTCCGAGCAAAGTACTCATCCACTTTTTCACTTTCCCTCATCTGTAGCACCTCGAACTCTCTCCGTAACGCTTGCAGTTGGGCTCTTTTGACCCTTGTAGATCCTTGGTATTTCTGTTTCATGGAGTCCCAAATACTCTTAGCCGTGTCTTTGTTGAGTATTGTCTCCATTATAGTCCGGTCAATAGCCTGAAACAAGTAGTTCTTGACTTTGAGATCTTTCATCTTTTGATCCTCAATCATCTTGCGCTGAGCCTCGTTTGGTTCCACTCCTTCAGCTGGCACAGTGATTCCTTGATCGACCAAACTCCAGTAATCCTTCGAACGAAGAAGGTTCTCCATCAACATCGACCAATGGTCATAGTAACCATCGAATTTGGGTATGGCCGGCTGAACAAAATTCCCTTCTGTAGCCATAACTCTCTCTCTTTCTGTGCTCTTTCTCTCTTTCTTCTCTCACAATCAAGTCCCAGTAGGGGCTCTGATACCAAAATGTAGAAAAATCAAACTCAAAGCAACAGTATTATCAAACTGTAGAGAATGATTCTTATTCAAACTGAATATAATCTTGGCTCTTATATAGCCATTACATTGAAGCAAAATTGAACAGATGCAGTCCACGATTTACAATCCTAAGATCGTGGTAGATACCTAAAGAAAGGGTCAATACTCTTAACAGATTTCCTAATAAATAGGAGTTATTGACTCAGCAAGAATAAAACAAATCCTAACAACTCAAATACTAACAGCACAAAGTCCTCTTTCTCAACAGCTACCTCCATGGACAGCTTGATTTGATTGATAATCTCCGTCTCTATATTCAAATGTTTCCTATGAACAGCTTGAAATTTGATTACAATCCAAGCCTACGGAAAGAACGCATTACTTCGTTACCTACTGGAAATGACAATCCATAAAAAAATATTAATACTTAGAAGATCAACTAGAACGAAGATGATACCTACAAAAAATTACTAAATAACTTAATAAACTCAATTTTTTGTTTTAATTGGTTGGATAACATCATTGTTAAAAAGACATGTTTTAATTGATTATGTGACATCATTGCTAAAAAGATTTTTTTTTTCTTGATCAAAATAAAAAAGTGGAGACAAAAAAAAGCGCCTAGCGACCACTTGTTAGACCTTCACCGGTGGGATCATAAAACTCGCTAAAATCTTATTACACGATTCAAATTGAGAAATTTCATTAGTTGAATGAGATGAGAGTTCATTTGTAATTGGTTAAATAACATCTTTGTTAAAATTTTATTCGAGGATATAAAAATTTAACAATCAAATGCATTGCTTAAATACAAAATAATTCATTTGCCACTACCTTGAGATGCCTATAAATAATTCAATTTTTATTCTCTTGTTGAGAATACGATAAGTTTTCTTTATTAAAGATTTGAGAGAGTAATGTTAAATGGATTATACAAGGGACTAAGGGCTGAAGGCTGAGATTTGAGAGTTAAACTTGAGTTGTAAAGTTGGTACTATTGTATCTATTTTTTCTCAATAGTCAAAAAAGAAGACCGGATCACACTTCATAAACATAAACAAAATAATTTTATCGAATCACGTAAATTTTAGTGTTATAAATTGTGTTTTGATTTTTTTTATTTCTCTTATTTATTTTTTTGTCATTGTACTGACAAAATTATTGTGATGAGTCTCTAATTAAGGAAAGAAACACTTGAAATATTAGAAAACCCACCACCAATTTATTTATTTTTTTGATCAAACACCACCAAATTGAATCAATTGGACGGTTAGACCCTCTTTTTGCCCTTTTCCAGATATCTGCAAAAAAATAAAATAAAAACTTAGTTAACAATCAGATGTCCTAAGAGTCATACATAGTAGAGCAAATTCCGATGTTATACCCCAATGTACTTCACTTTCTATCATTCAAATAGATCAACATGTGGACCAACTTGCACCGTTAGCTCTGTTAACGATATTTGCAAAAATGATCATTAGAATTGTCGGTAACTGTTAGATTTTTTTCATTAGAATTTTATTATTTATTACATCATTATGTTAATAAATTAAGTCAATTTTTTTATACCGATAGCATTACTAATCCACCAAAGGTATACCTAGAATGCATTATTAAACTAGACAAAACGATATTTGTGTACAATTATTAGTATTATAAGATACATGACATATATCTTACATTTTGATATGAGAATAGAATTATACATAACATATTGTTATATTATTTTTTCATTGTATCATACGATATGTAATACGCATCTTATAATACATTTTAATTAAAATTAAAAAACAATACACACATTACCATTTTTTTTATATTTTCATTGTAAACACGCATCACACAAAATGATAATTGAGTTGAAATGATATTTATATTGGTTTGGGCGATATATACTGTTATATTTATATGTACGTTGTGATACATGGTACCTTTCTCTCCAATTGACCAGAAAATGCAGAAAAAGTAGGCTTCCTCTGGGAACTGAATGGAGCCAAGGAGAGACTGAAGCTTATAAAAGCTGATCTGTTGGAGGAAGGAAGCTTTGACCAGGCCATACAAGGAGTTGAGGGAGTCTTCCACACTGCATCTCCAGTGTTCGTGCCATACGATCACGACGTTCAGGCAGGACTGACATAGTGCCCCTGTAGATAAATAATGATAATCACGTAGTTGAATCATTGATTTTTCAAACCTGAATGCCTCGTATCCACACACCAGTTGGACATACTTTACAATTTCGATTGACCTTACTATAGTTGGCCAAATAGATCGAAGCAGGCAATCTTTGTGCTGTCTACATAATATTAACTTAAAGAGTTGGAATCTGCATTTTGGGTTTGTTTGATTGTATGGCCTTTCTACTATGATGCATAAAGAAAGCTTAATGGCCTAATGCGCAAAAAATGCTGTGGGCCCTTGCGCGAGTGGAATTGAACGGTGGTTTCTTTACAGAACATTGCCCAGCTCATTGCCACCTGGTTGATATGATGGATAATTTGTGTTGGTGAAAAGACTCTGTAAATGATTCTATTCAGCAGACTTTAACTTTTCGTTTATTTCAATAAGGGTGTTTTTTCCCAACTTCTGCATATCATACAAAATCTGAATGTAACTGCTAACATTGCAGGCAAAAGTGATTGATCCTATCATAAAGGGCACCTTGAACGTGTTGACCTCTTGCAAGAAAGCAAGCAGTGTGAAAAGGGTTGTGCTTACCTCGTCCTCCTCTTGCTTAAGATGTCGTGCAGACGTCCAACAAGTTTCTCCTCTTAATGAATCCCACTGGAGTGATACTGAGTATTGTAAACGCCACAATGTAACAAGACTTCCAGCTTTGTTATGTTTCTGAAAACAACATAGTTATGTTTAAAAGCATATGCATAAGTTTACGAAGCATCCAAATTTTGTAGATGCTAAAATTCCTAATCGGAATTCTTGCTTGCAGCTATGGTATACATATGCAAAGACAATAGCAGAGAAAGAGGCATGGAGAGTAGCAGAAGAAAGTGGGATAAATCTAGTGGTTGTGATCCCCTCTTTTGTAGTTGGTCCCTTGCTTACGCCCCAACCAACCAGTTCATTGCGACAAATACTGACCATCATCAAAGGTGACATTTTCATTATTGTCTAGATGATTTTTTTAAAACACCATCATGCATGGGCAAGGCTGATGTGTTTCCTAATAATTTCTACTATTGGAGATCATAATAAGCCATATCACCATATGGACGGTGCGGTGACTCTTTCCACTAAATTTTTTTTTGATAGGAAACACAATTTTCTTAAAAGAAAATTAGCGTTCAAGTGAAACTCAGTAATTGCTTAAATGGAAAAAAAGTATTATTCCTTTTCATTAAGTGGAAAAAGCCTCCTTCACAGAGAGAGCAAAACCAACAGCCATGTACTATTGTGCAGGGATAGATGAACCTTAATTGGTAACTATGGAATTGTTGTTAATGCAATTATGAGTCAAAGGTGAATGTATTTAGTAGTTCTCAGATAATGTGTGTTTGATATCCTTATGCTCCGTTTGATAGGGAGGATGGAAAGTAGTAGGTATATATTTTCTATTATTTAAAGATAGAAAGTAGAAATGATACACTTTCCTTTCTTTGTGTTTGGTTGAATGGATAGAAAATAAAAATTACTAATTTTTTTTTAATTTTTTTTGTGCTTACTAAGACTAGGGGTGATAATCGAGTCGTGTCGTGTTAAATTTGTGTTGAGTCATAAAATTTTTAATTTTATTTTTTTAAATTTTTTTTAAAAAAAAAAAAATATATATATATATATATATAAATACATATTTTATCATTGTATTTTTATATTAAATTAATATATACATAATATATAAACAAACAAGATACATTTCAACACAAATCATCCACTTTCCTTTCGATTTTAGAGGGATTGATTTTAGTGAGTTGGAAGGAAAGTTAATTCACCACTTTTTCATTTTTCCTATTTTCCTTCCTTATCAAACATGATGTTTTATCTATCCCTCCAACTTTTCATCCTTCTATTTTTTCATCATACCAAATGAAACATTATTCAATTTTTTCCCTAAGGGAAGTTGAGGAAGAGGAAAGTAGCCAAATTCAACCAGATAACCCAAGATTCAAATACTATACTCAACTATCAGATGAAAAAGAAAAATGTTACTCTTGAAGCAGTGATGGATACACTCATATCACTTACATAATTTGCACTCAGAAGTCGTAAAAATTTGAAGTTATCATTCAATGCAATACACACTCAACGATAATCGTTTTTAAGATTTTATCAAAACAACAATGCCCATACATATAATTTCTATTATGCAGGTTATGCTTACCTATTCCCTTAAACTGCCTGGTTGGAGAAATCCTCACTGACTTTCCAAGAAGCATTTAAGATTCAGTACCCAAATCGACCACCATGTGACCGCCAAACAAATCATCCTACACCAAGTCCACAAAAAAAAAAAAAACTACAAATGTTTCCTGGATCTTAATGAGCTCAATTTATGGACTTGTAGTTTCAAATTAGTTTTAAATATATGAATGATAAATTGCATAATAGTATTTGATCATAGATTATTGCATTCTCCCTTTTTTTATTTTAAATCTATTTTCTATTTCAATATATGAAAGTGAATTTAGAAAAACGAAAATCTGTGTGCTTTTATCGTAGATATACTAGGAGACAGCAAAATAATTTTAGTATATGATTTTGAGGTAAAGATAGTAAACCTAATAGTTTTTACTTTGGTTTGGTATTTATCGGGCAACATAATAACATTCAGTCATACAAATCAGCCACTTTTTTCGATCTTCAAATCGAAGAACATATTTGGTTTTGCACTTTCAAAATATTAATTATTTTTTAGTTTGATACAACACGTAAGCTCATTGTAACGTGACGGAATTAATTTTCTTGTCCCTGCAACTTCTTGTCAGGTGTAAGAGGAGACTACCCAAACGTAAGAGGAGGGTTTGTGCATGTAGATGATGTAGTGGATGCACATATATTAGCAATGGAGGAAAGTAAAGCATCAGGCAGGCTTATATGTTCAAGCACAGTAGCACATTGGTCAGAGATCATTGAGATGCTAAAGACCAAATATCCAATTTATCCATATGAAGACAAGTAAGAAAAAAAATGTAGTTTCTATTATTTGACCTTCACTACATTTTTTAGGTGATAAAAAAAAAACAGCAGTTACAGAATCAAATTGCAATTGAGCTGCTAAGCAGCCCCATAACTTGTTCCTAAATTGGATGCTTGTAAGTGTACCTTGGTTATCCTTTTCAGGTGCAGCAGTCAAGAAGGAGACAACAACCCACATAGCATAGGCAGCAGCAAGATTCTTCAGCTGGGTCTCCCGGCTTTAACAACACTTGATCAAATGTTTGATGACTGCATCAAAAGTTTCCAACAGAAGGGATTTCTTTGAAGGTCAACATATCTTCTGCAAGTTCATTCAGCTAATTGGGCTGTAGTTTTCTACATTATTAGATTGTGTTGTACAAACTAAAAACATATGGAGCAGACTTATATGAATGTTCCGGCAATTGGGAAAAGAAAATTCAATATTATATTGAGTTGTAGGTGATGTCTTTGCACCAAAACTTTCTAAAAACTGTGCTGTATATTGTCTGTTCTAGTCAAACGAAACATTTTTAACTGCTTAGGGAACTCAAGTCAATGCTTCATTAGTATCAGTTATTGAAAAATAGAGAGCCACGGGTATAGCATACAGGTATGAATTATAATCATCTTTTTGTGCATTTGTTCTCTGCCATACAATACATGCACAGGCTTGATCCACAGATATATTTCTTGCCACAAAGAGGAAGTAAATAAGTTTGCACAATTGGTATGCTCTGCAAATCTATCAAATTCAGCAAATAGATTAAAGCTTATGATTGCAATCTAGGTTTGGAGTTCCCCCTATAGTTGTTTAAAATAAGATTTGAAACTCATCTAATAGATTTTTGGGTGGAGCTATTTTTACCCTACAAATATCTTTTCTCACCCCCATTAAACTATCAATTATAAAACTACCAAGTCCACCACTACTGTGTCTACCCCACTAATGACTAAGTCCACCCCATTAAAGACTAAACTTACCATGTGCAATGTTTGAGTTCTTCTTAGTTATGTTTTAATGTGTCATGATATCAACAATTAAATTGTGGATAAAATATACAAAATAGGTTATATTTGACTCTTAACAAACAAAAACGGATAAACCTTCACTTAAATACTTTTTATAAACTAAACATTTTGTGTGAATTTCTCTTCAAAAAAGAGATAGTAAGTTAAGTTTGTATAGTTGTATATATACATACTAGTTATTCCTCATGCCTGAAGGCACGAAATAGTAAAAAAATGATCAGCATATTTATATTCACACTCAAAATGTAATTTACAAACACAAATGAGAGATAAAAAAATTTAAACACTAATTGTAGTGGGAGTGAGCGGTGGTAGTGGTGGTGGGCGACAGTAGTGATGATGAGAGACAGCGATGGTTGGGGTGGATAAGGCGACGATCGTGGTGGTGATAACAGCCGTGGGTGGCAATGTTAATGGTGATGGTGGATTTTGAGTGACGATGATGGTAATGGCAACCATGGGTAACAACGGTAGTAGTGGTGGTGGTGGGTGTGGGTGGTAGTGGACGACGATGATGGTGGTTAACAGTGGTGGTGATGGGCAATGACGATGGTGGTGATGGGCGACGATAGGTGTTTCTGGACGACAGTATAATGGGTGGCGGTGATAAGCGTGGTAAGGGTAAGTGATAGTGGGTGGCTGTAGTGGTGGGCGATAATAGGTGGTGGTTGTTAGTGGTGGTAGGTGTGGTGGGATAAGTCATAGTGGCTGGTGGCTGGTGGCGATGGGTGGTGATAGGTGCTGACGGCGGGTGACGGTGGTAGTGGGATGACGATGGTAATGATAATAAGTATAAAAATAAGATGACGATGATAGTAGCTGGTGATAGTGGTAGTGGTGGTGGTGGCGGCGATGGGGCAGTGAGGGTAGGGTGGGGTAGAGGTGGGGTAGTAGGTGGGGTATTGGTGGGTTGGTGATGATGGTGGTAATTGTGATGGTCATGGGGGTAGGGGTGAGACAGTGGGCGTGGTAGAGGTGATGATGGGACAGTAACAGAGGCGGTAAGGAGCGACAGCGGTAATGATGATGGTAGGGTGCAGCAGCGGTGGGGCAATGGAAGTGGTGATGGTGGTGACAGTGGCGGTGGTGGTGCGTATGGTAGGGTGGCGATAGTGATGGTGTTAGGGATGGGGGTGGTGATGGTGGTGGTGGTGGTGGAGCAGTGGGGATAGTGGTGTTAAAGGTAGTAGTGAGACGGTTTCAAACACTATTTTTTATTTCAAGTACTTATGAGAAATACTTTTAAAAAATTATTTCAAACATACTCTTAGGGGTTTATTTTTTATATTAAATTTGAGGTGTTAATATTAGTTGTTAGATTAACTTTAAAGTAAAATTTAAAACGATCTCAACCGTAAATAACAAATGTCATTTTATTTATCGTTTGATATTTAAATTTTATTACACTTTATTATATAGATATATTTAACCTTATATGTATTATACATAAAACTTGAATAAAATCATTGATATTGATAAAAAAAAAAAAAAACACGTGCAACAAAATAAAATAAATTTAGAATCATTACCAATTTGAATATCACTTTAGAGATTTATCCTAAATAATTAAATATATTTTCGTGTTGACCGTATGAGATGGGGTATAGAAAAAAAAACCTTATAGGTGAAAATTGATATAAGTTTAGTCATTAGTGGGGTGGGTATAAAATGAGATAAGCTTAGTTACTAGTAGAATGGATATAGAAAGGATAAACTTAATAGTTTTATAATTTTCTTCAATATAGATCATTAGCTATGAATTTAAATAGAACTCACTATATTTAAGTGGATCTCCCACAAATATATGGTGGGCAATCTACTATTGGGCGAATTAAGAAAAAGTGTATTGAAGGGATTTGGATCCTTTTAAAGTACGTGATGAAAAAACCTTTATTAGCAATGCATTGAAACCTATATAATGTTTTCCAAATCCAAACATCAACAAATGCACAAATTCGTGGAGATATGCATCACTTGGGTGATGTCCAACCAGCACTCAAATTTGAGTAAGAATTTGAAGAAATACAAAGTACTCCAATGGTAACAAATTTAGCGAGTTTCGATTGTTACCAAGGTGCACCAAAACTACAAAAGAGATTTAGATGCAAGCCACATGACATCCCCCCCAAAAAAAAAAAAAAAAAACAAAACCAACAAAAGCACCTAATATTGCATACCAAACTTCCTTTGCCCACATGCTTTCCACCCATAAACACACACAAAATGGCCAACAAATAGTGAATTGCATGGCTTTATTGATGATCTCTTTTTTCTCAAAAACCATTAATATCACCATCGAACAAATGTGTGTGCGTGTTAGAGAGAGAGAGGGAGAGAGGTGCCAGAAAACTGCATTACAGGGGGTCCAGGGTTGGTAGCGGGTTACCTGGTAAAGCTGCTGCTGGAAAAGGGACACGTACTTTGCGAAATCCAGGTACCGTTTGATAGTCATTGATACATTCAGTCTCTCCATCTATATACGTACTATGAACAGCATGAAACTGAATACTTTTCAAGCCTATGCAAAGAATTATTTTCAACACACTACGGGCATGGTTGATTTGGTTTTCAAAAATAGTTTTTTGTTCTCAAAATTCTAAAAACAAGAAAAATATTGTTTGTTTAGTTTTTTTTGTTCTCTAATTTTTTAAAAATTTTGGGAATCGAGATGTAGTTTTAAAGAACAATAAAATGATATTTTATGAGTTTTCAGGCTAAAATAGAAAACAAGATAAACAATCTCTCCTTTTTAACGAGGTTCACCCCATCAAACTTCCTTAGTATCAAAATGCATTTTTTTTTGTTAAAGTATAAAAATCCTTTACTTGTGTATATTTCTCAATCTCCACTTTTTCTCTCTCTTCTCTCTCTCTCTCTTTGTGCAACGATACTGTCCAAACGAAACACAGACCATTTCTCTCCCACTTCGACAAATCCAAATGAACACACTCACAATTTGGGTTCAAAAACTCCGACGATCTTCAACATCTTCTCCGTCCTTTCCAGTGTCTTTTTTTTTTTTGCATTTGGGTTCAAGACACAAGTAGTGGTTGTGGGTTTTGGTGGTGGTTGTGGATTTTTGGTGATTGTCAGTTTCGGTGCTTTGTGGGTTTCGGTGGTGGTCTTGATGCACAGTGAAAGAGAGAGAGATAGAGAGTCGAAGAAAGGTGGAAATTGTAGATTATTGTCTAAATAAATTTAATAATTTTTATTCTTTAAAATTATTTTCAAAAATATATAAACAAACAAATTTTACAATTTAAAAATTTTTAAAAACACTTTCTTCAAACTCTTCTCAAAAATAGTTTCTAGATACTATTTTTGAGATGTAAACTAAACAGGCCCTATTACTTTTTTTTGAATGTGTTCGGGAAGTCTCGGATCTACAAAGAAGTGTCTAAAAATTCAATATTACCAGTAGTAATAAAGAATTTTCAAATTAACTCTTTTTTGGGTGACAATTAACGCTCTTAATCTTAAGAAAGATCAAAAACAAAGTCCTGTCCTACTCTCAAATCATGAGGGTCTAAGGAAAGGGGAAGCATGACTGCAGTAACCCCATAGACCTTATAAAACAGGGGAGGGAGAGAGAAATTTTTGTAGTCATACGCCAGTATAAACATGGCAGAATAGTTTTTATAGTTTACCAAAAACATGCGATATTGCTTCTTAGGGCAAAATGTAATGTTTCGGTATAATCTCAAATTGCTTATCTTAGCCCGAATTTCACTAGAAAATGCAGAAACAGTAGGCTTCCTCTGGAAGCTGGGTGGAGCAAAGGAGAGACTGAAGATTGTGAAAGCTGATCCATCTGTTGGTGCATGGAAGCTTAGACGACGCCATAAAGGAAGTTGATGAGGTCTTCCACACAGCATGTCCGCTACTCTTGCCATACCATTGCAATATTCATGCAAGATTAACATAGAACTCGAATTTAATTAACCACAGTCATAAATTGATAATCGAGCCATCAAAGCAGTCCATGCTCGATACTCACCTGAATGCATTCTCTACCTACATACCAGCTGACCATTCTTATCAATATAGATTAACTTGATATTGTTAGAACATCCAACGCACAACCAATTGGCAATGAGTGGAGAGGCCCCCCCAGCATATAAACCAATCTTGAGTGATTCTAATCATTTGATTTGGGATACAAGCTCTCTTTACTAATATAACTGGCCAAAGAGAGTAAAGTGTCACTAGATCCATCTTTGACACACTCTATAAAAAGTTAAAACCAGTAGCGCAAACAGACGGATAGATCTTAGTGTAAGAGGTTGAAGAATTACATCAAAGAAAAAGTGATGTGTGCATAGACATGCATGGCCTCAACTGGTAACACAATCACTTTAGAATCGGCTATACTGAAAAAACAAGAAGGAAAGAAACTGTGCAACAATCCAGTAAGGAACGCAAGTCCATGCTTCATTCTTAGTCACCTAAATTACCAGTGAGTGATAGAAAGAAATTATGAGCGGGTACAATACACGGATGAGATCATCTTTTTTGGATTGTTCTCTGTCTTGTGCCCAAAGTATGCGATTGACCCATTGTTAAGTTCTTACCACAAACAAATTTCCCTTGTTGGCAATGTAGTTCTGTATGATATCTGTCATATCATATAACAAACTTAAGATTTAAAAGATGAATCACTGTAAGTGCGGTATGTTCATAACACAATGCTTTCCAGAAATTCAAAGCAATATAAGACAAAATAAATAAGGTAAAAAGGAAATGGATCAATATCTGATTAGGTTCATTACATGTGATATCTGCAACATGAAAAAATGGCAAATAATGTTCTCTCAAACCTACATCAACAATAGCACAAACTTCTGGATGCCAAATCTGCACCACTTAAGACTAAGTCAGTTTCAAGACCTCTCCTACAGACCACCATTATGAGAAAACCTCAAACAAAACACAAACTATTATATTATTTCACCTTTCAAACCCATTTATACTTCCAAGGGAGTGCTGCTTCTCCTGAGCCTAAAGTGGCTGTACACATCATGATCTTCAAGAACATACATGCAGTAGCCAATATGCTGAGTAACATCACAGTTCCCTGATATGATTAGTTTTGCATACTCTGTTCTGTGGCCATTCAGCTCATTGCTCTTAGTATCAACGCCATAGTAAGCTTAATGTGTAATGTAAATATGTTGAGATATAGGCCTTTGAAAGAGAGAGGACCCAATCTTTTATAAAGTGGACACATCTTGGACGCTCTCTCCACCATCTTCGAAAAAGAAGGGAGAACACAATGTTTCATTTACAAACTCATGATGCAATTCTTATGCTTTTTCTTTTCTTCCATTGGTGTTCCCTCTGTAAAGAATTCATCGCCACCTGTTAGCATCTTACCAGTGGACGACCCATTTCCACCATTAGTTCTCTTACACAACAAGAAAACTAATGCCAAGGGAACAGAAATAATCACTAGTCAAAATCACTTTAAGAAATATATATCACATATTACTTATTTCAACAGTAAGAAACTCATCTATTACCAGTCTTACAGTAATTTTAGGGATAGTTCGCAACTTATATGTATAGGAGATTAACCCTACAAGGCTACAACCATAACCTGCAAATGTAATGTAACAACAAAATAGCAAGAAATTAGCAACTACCCATTACCAATAACAAACGAAGACCAAAGGACCATCCACTTGATAGAGCGAGAAATATAGTTCTCTTTTTTGCCATCATTCAATATCACAGATACTGAGATCATCCAAGCTGCTAAACTCACCCAAGAGGTACCCATAATTGTCTATAATCTTTGAACCAAGCTCCAATCCTAAGTTAACCCCTTGACCACCTTGTATAATAGCACTTAACCTGAAAAGGTTCGAGCTTTATCTCCCTCCATGTTAATAATGTTTTGAAAAAAATTCACTGTATCCCTTAAATTATCAATTTTTTTAAATTACTTGAATCAATTTTATATTATCCCAAATGCCATTTTTTGGTATCTTTTAGAACAAAATTGTTAACATATTTGTGACAAAGTAAAACAAAATAAATAATTTATCGATAAAAAAAATAATTTCAATAAAATTTATGATAGACATTGATAACTAAACTAATATAAAATTAATAGTATGATTAAAAATATAATGTCAAAAATATGATAATTGAGGGAGGAAAATAAGAGGATTTTTCTTCAGTACAATTCAACGGAGTAAAACAGGCGCAAGTCTGAAATGATATGGATTAACCTTTACTTATTAAGGTTGTCCATAGCTGGATGAGCCCCCGGCCCAAGAATCATTGCCTGACCCAACAAACTTCTTCCTAGGAATGGGCCAGATCGGGTCATCCCTCAAGAACAATAACTAAAAGCCCTAATACTGCAAGGATCGTTAAAACTGCTTTATTAAAGTTTTGAGTTTTGACCATTAAGTTTTTTTTTTTTTTACGTTTGTTCATGCACTATTGCAAAGGGAGTGGACGACGAGATTTAAACTCGCAATCTTGAGGTCCAAGAACGGATCATGAAGTTGACCAACTAGAATATTCTATGTTGATAAATTATATTATAGCCAATAAAATGGTAGATCATAAATTTTTTGGCCCAAGAATAATCTAGCCCGGTCCATACCAATGGCTTCCCCTGCTTGTTCGTCGCTACCAATCCAATCTCAATTCGGATAACCCAAAATGCTAACCCCAACTAAATTACAAACTAGTTGGGCCTAGAATCTGACAAATAAGGGTCCTTTAGAAATTGGTACACCAAATTAAACATAATTTTAAAAAAATATACAGAATAAAATGTGTTGAAAAAAAGTACACAACTGAGATACAAAAACATAAATGCCTATTTTGTAAAATTTTCTTTACTAAAAACCGTAACAAGACATTTATCTTAAACGCTGAAATTTAGGGTCATTTAATTCGAAATCTCTAGTGTATCTTGATTCATGCATATTTTATTTTTTTTGGAAAGTAGTTTGTTTTCAAATTATATTTATGCATTAAATATCTCCTAATTTTATGGAAGAATTTTAATATTCCATTTATTTTAGGATATATAACTTTGTTTGAATTTCAAAATTTATTAATTGTTTTTTTATATAATTTGAAATATAAAATTATTTATATTGTTAAAAAAAAGTAACAAATTTATTAAGCAATAGTGTAACAAAAACAGTGTTCAGTGATTTTGTGTATATGATAACAAATTCAAAACAAAGATGAACTGTTTTGAATAAAATTGTATAAAAATATATGTTTTGACAAAATGTAATATACACTGTTATGGAGTTCGGATATTAATATTATTTAAAAACAAAATCACTTTCCACAAAAAATACGAATAAATCAAGGTGCATTAAATATAATTTGAAAACAAAATCACTTTCTAAAAAAAATATACATGAATCAAAGGAGGACATAAAAATACAAAAATATTAAAGTTCTCTCATAAAACTAGGAGATGTTTAATGCACCATTTTTCAAAAATAATACGCTTGGATCAAAGAAGGATATAAAGGTCAAAAAAAATATGAAAATTTCAAATAATGTAATTGAAAATAAATAAGTATCAAAATTAAGGACTTTTTTATTCTATATTTTTTTCTGTGTATTTTTTTACAATTAACTCCAATATAGTGTACCCCTTGCAATTTTGCCGACAAATAATTATGTTTAATCATATCGTTGATAATGGATTTTTAAGAGCTATCTCCAATAGACTATTTATTGTCACTAAATTCTCTACTTTAGAGAGTCAACGTCAAAATTTCATCACCAATAGATTCTTTATTTAAGTTTTTTAAAATAAAGAGTGTAATTTGATTCTCTACATTTAGAGAGTCAAACTTTTTCTTTTCTATTTATTTGAAGAGTAATGCTGCATGGTATATTTACTTTTCCAAAACGGGATAAAGCATATCTCTATACTATTTATGTCAAAACCAACTTCTTCCCCCGTCACAGTTGGAAATGATATCTAAG